GCCATGCACTGCAGAAAAGTGAACTCGGTGCAGTATGGCAGTGACAATGCTCAATCGCCAAATTAGCACACCCTTGCAAAAATTTTCTATGGGACCGATAGAGATTTTTAGGCGATCAATAAGATTTCATCGTACCGATGGGCATTTCTATTGGGCCGATAACAAGTTATATCGTACCAATACAGACTTCTCTTGTACCCTTTCTGTGGGACAAGCAGGAACTTCTATGGGACAAGTAGAAACTTCTATGGGAACAACACGAATGTTTTCTGGTCCGGAATACAAGTGCCTATTGGTCCTTCAATAGGATCAATGACAAGTTGTACTGGTTAAACTGAAAGCTTCATTGGTGAAATGGAATGCATTTCGGATCGAGAACTTTTAATGGTCGACTGGGAATACAGAACATAAAATCTATTAAGTGGGCATCCATCAGGTTAAACAGTATGCTTAGTGGAGAAATTAGAGTTGTTATATACTAAAGTTTTATGTTTTGAGCACAGGAAAATAATTTTTGCCGCAAATATACCCGATGGCAGGCACGCAGCCAGGATTTTGATTCGCCCATGACAAAATACTGTATGAGGGGGAGGGAGGAAAAGGGGCCCCACCAAATGAAAGGTTTGGGAGGAGGGGGGGGGTCCCATGGTTCCCCCCCCCGCCCCCCCCCCCCCCCCCCCCCCCCCCCGTGCAGATACGTGCGTGCCCGATGGGTTCCCCTCTGTCAAATAAACATTTTATTTAGCTATATAACGGGTTGGGCCATGTAGACACTAATTAAATAAAACATTCAGTTAATAAAGTGAATATGAACTCTTTTTTGTCACGTGTTTTAGAATTTCCTGATTAAGTACTGTCCTCCTTCGTATTATAAAACATGCGGCTGCCAGTAAAACATAAAGAAAAGACTATGGGGAACGGGAACATTGTGTGTGCACATAGTATGTACAAGATTCATGAATAATTATATATAGGCAAGCCACGAAATTCAGGTATCATCGGAACTCTGCAGTTTTAGCGGTGTATTCTGTCCTTTTGTTTTCCAGGATGTTTCAGTAACAGTAATAGCGTAAACGATTGCACCAACTGGATTATGTATTCACATTAGACTTTGCTCCGTTTTATTCAGTTTTACCTGGTTTCGGAGTGGAACGTTCTCGTTTTTTGTATAAATTTCGCTCCAGAACCGAGCAAATCAGAGTAAAACCGGGTCAAAAACAGAATAACACTGACTCAAAAATCCTATTATCATCTTTCACGATTGGTCCAAAACTCTCCGACTTCCGACGTCGGGACTTTAAAACCTTGGCGGAGTTGGCGAAAAAATGCGATACTTCAGGCTTCCATTTTGCCATGTGAACGTATCCTGTTTGAGCCCTAGCAGAGGCTACGCGCTCGTTCTGGGGCGGCAGATCACGTGCACATTCTATCGTGGGCATGCTTTTTATTAACAGAAAAGAAAAGCCGGTAGTGCCGAATAACATCCAATAATTATTAACACCATAGAAGTCATTAAAAAAAAAGCACATAAAATGCGCGCACACACACACACACACGAAATAAGGATGACCTTCCCGAAATTATGATTGCACCTTGTTTCACGCACAGTAAGTGTCAGGCAGCGCTTTCCACTTTGTAGTTGAGCAAGGAAGTTCCTTTTGAAAGGCATTTTACGCGCTTGTTGGCAGTTTGGGCCTTTAGTTTGGCTTCTGGCTTCCCAATGTTGTAGTTTTCCTTGATGCCGGGAAGAGTGTACACTCCAGCAATGAAGTTTTCGAGATTCAAAAGCCCTTCATTTTGCGTCCAATTAAAATGAAGGCCAGCCGAAACAGGGTACGTCAGACTCGTTACATTCGTCTTTGGCAGTAGCCTTTTCGGAAACTTGGACAGGAAATTGGTCTTCAAATCTCCCGTCACTTTCACAATTTTATCACTTGTGTCTTCACTAACTGGCCCAGTACTGTGACCGCTTCTGATTTCATTGGTACTACTTAGTTCACGGGGAGTTTTTGTCTCACCGTGTTCCGAGACAACCGAGCTTATAGAAACTGCTGTCGGCGACGTCGGTTCTGGTCCCTGGCCTGTTGTAGCATTTATCAGGACACAACTTCGTCTCAGGACTGTTGTCCTTGGCAAGCTGGGTATACTTAGTGGCTCCAAGTATATTTTTTTGTTTGGGTTCATGGTCGCACAGCGGGACACCCTACGTGTGTCAAATCCAAATTTTAAAATTCGCACTGACGTCGTCCCGCAGCAAATGCAGTTTTCTAATTAAAATGACAAATAAAAATTACTCCGTTATAAGTTTAATATATATTCAGTATTTACATTTGACAATTAAGTAATACCATAATTTTTAGAAACGTTTATTATTTTCTTAAGTGCATCAGTCACACTTGCGGGCTTGCGGGTTACACCCACTGATCTCTATGACAATTGCTGGATCGCGCTTCCCCGCTTGTTCGCTGCAGCGCAAGTGAAGCCACCGGACTTCACTCGCTTGGGATACGATTTGCCGTTTTTGCTAGCCTTTGCTGCGGTTTTCCAGCGTGCTGTAGACACGTTTTCTACTCGTTTGTCGTTATTCGCCGAAGAAGTTTTTTGAAGACTCTGTGTATTGTTGAGACTTGCCGTTGTGAACACGTGGAAAATTTTACGAAAGTGCAGTGTCGCAGGAAAAAGGCACAACGCGTCGAAAGGAAGGGCTGGCGGCGTGTTCAAAGCTTCCTTGGCACGCCGAAGTGCCGTGTCTCTGTGCCTTCGCACGCACGGTTTCAGCTAGAAACTACCTGGCAACCCTGACAAGGAACCGTGGAAGAAGAACCGAGGCCACCGAAGCTGCCGAAGCAGCGTTCGCGGGAAGTCTAACCGCTTGAAGCACGTTGCAGAGTCGAGACCAGTTGAGCGGCCGGAATTTTACGAACGAGTATGCAAGCGTACGTCTTGAGGACGACCATGAGCAACATATCATCTCAAATTTCTGCCCGTCAAGCCTTGTGACGAAACGGAATCGGACTTCTTCAAAGCGCGGATCCTAAAGTTGCTTGGTAAGTTCTAGTCTCCACACGCGTTGTGCCCAGTCTAGTGACCATCTCCTTTAAGTTAAAAATTGCAGCTTTAAGCACAATATGTGGGAGTAACTCTCGGCGCCGGTTGTTTCAGGATCGCAGAGTGACGCGGAAACCCAGTGACAGTAAGCGGGTGCTAGTACCTCCGACGAGATGAGTGACTGCCCGGGAGAGCTGGAGGAAGCTTGTATGAGACAGGTAATTGTAATTTCATTTTCGCGCTTGCGAAGCAATTCATAAGACGTATTTTAAATTTGAGATTTTCTTTAGTTATGCCGCCACAAGTACAAGGAATTTCATTGATAGGGGTGCTGTGTGTTTGTTTTCATATGCCCAGAAACTAGGTAAAGGTTATGTGTTTTAACATTTTTTCTGTGCTGATAGGCTTAAGGTTAGAATGAATTATATCTGTCAAGGCGTGGCGCAGTCTCTGTCTATTTGGAGAAGAGGTATGTGTGTGTGTGTGTGTGTGCGTGCGTGTTCGTTTGTTTGTTAGTTCGTTGGGGGAGAGAGAGGAGATGAAAAAGAGGAGGAGGGTGAGGGATCACGTCGAATCATTCAAATCGTTAACTATGACAGTGAGGTAAGAAGGATACCTGCTAGTTACACCGGTTCGGTTTTATGCCAAACTCAAATTGTGTTTTGCCGCGTAAATATTGCTACAATTTTTTTTTCATCAACAAGATTAATTTTGAGGCATGCCGTTGACAAATAGGACCCCTGTTTTCAATCCCAGTCCAGGTTATTCGCGACTCCAGTGAACTACAGATGGCGCGCTGCTCAGGCAAAATTCGGACGAAAGAAGGTCGTTTTCGTTGTTCAGCATGCGGACGGACCATCAAAAATTCCTGCACTGCAGCGTAAAATCGGTGTTACATTTGAATGCAAAGCGATTTTTCGACCTTAGAAACGTTCGTCTACTCAGTGCGTAGGAAGGACTTGGTGGAATCATTAAAATAATTACTGGAAACAATGTTTGTTTCTATGCTGCCTACGAGAACCAAGCAGCGATAGCAGACGACAGAGTCGGGACAACCTCCACTCCTGAGCTTCTCGGCGCTGCCGCTACGCGGCGTCGATTTCGCTGGAGTCACGAATATTGCGCTGGTAAATTTCCTGTACATAGTGCTGCTTCAAAGATGAACTGAAGTTTATGTCTTCAATGTGTGCATTGGCAATGGCATGTGGCTCAACAAGACTTCACACACGAAAGTTCTCAAATAGGAGAGGGAATCAATGTTCATCAGGTAAGGTTTGGTAATTATCTCCGCCACAGATGGCCTCCTTGGCGAATTGTTACCGGCAGACCTTCAAACCGCACAAAGGCTAAGCAAAGCCACAACTGGATGCAGCAAGACTAAAAGCTTTATAATATACTGTAAGGACTATGGCTTTATAATAAGCCTTTTATAGCAAAACATACTGATCTGAAAAGCGTTGTTTGTGGTTATTTTAAAGTGGTATACGGAAACTTCGTCGTATTGTATTAATTCTGGTTCACTGCACAGTTAAAAGGTTTGTCTTCGTTTGCTGCCAGAGAAATATAGCTTGCGATGAACTAAATCAAAGTTATGACTGCTGGTGTCATGTACATATTCAGAACTTTTGTTTATTAAAATAATTGTAATCAAGTGTTTTTATGGGTTTTAGCACTGTGATTAAGATACGTCAATGTGTTTTCTAAGAAAGACTACTAATTTGCAGTTTGTATCTTCTCCTAAAATAATTTGTAGATCTGAGCATGTATTCATACCTGAATATGTGCCAGGCATTCCCCAGTATGTGTATAATTGTTTACTAGGCCCGTAAGCTTCCCCACTACATCATTGCCGCTATGTTAGCGCTTCCCAGCTATTATTCGAGAGAGATAAGTGTTTCTCATGATCAATTAGGTTGAGATTGTTTAGGGTTAATGTTTTTGAGTTCCCCATTTTTTATTCCTGACAGAGCGCTTCAATGTCCGTTTATTTTTGGTTTGCCGCTATTTATCACCACAAGCAAAAACATCACGCCACTGGGATTAACCTGAAGCTCACCTCATGATTAACGACGCTGCCGTCCACTGTCTTAAGGTGGGCCTACGTTCATGGGTACTTGTCTAGTGGTTCTGGAGTTGATGTTGCTGAGATAACCGAGACGCCGATTTCTACGATGGCCTCTGTCAGCATCATGGTCAATTACAGCTGGCCCGAGCCCGAACCAGGCCAATCAACGTGCTGGCCCGAACCAGGCCAATCAACGTGCTGGCCCGAACCAGGCCAATCAACGTGCTGGCCCGAGCCCGGCCCGGGCCCACAGTCAAAAGTCCGAGCCCATCCCAGGCCTGGGCTTTCGGGTAAGCCCAAGCTCGTGCCCAGTTGTATAATCTTTAATCCAATCGCCATATTGAGATAAAGACGTCAAAATTCCTCAGTTTAAATGTCGGAAGTGCCTCAATAAGAGCAGGTATAAATATTAGTAGCAAATTTAATGATAAAAAAACTGCGCCGACTTTACTCAACAAGATTAACAATTTAATCAAGCGTTTCGTCTCCCATGCGGGGAACATCATCAGTGAAACCTTTAAGCAGGAATGTGCGAAAAAACTTCAACAATCTTATTTAAGAGGGCGCGGTACCTCTATTTATTCGTCCGTTTCAGCCAACAGATGGCGCGCGGCTCGAAACGTGGTTGAACGCGCAACTTCTAGATGGCGCCAGTATTGAGGTGTGAAAAGGCCCGCGTTATCCGCTGCGTGAAATAGATCCCGAAATGTGCCGTGTTCTCCCGGCGGTGGAAGTTTCTCCTTCCCTCGCGCGCGCTTGGTATGTACGCGCGTCGCGCGGTGGCCGAGTCCGGCCTCTGCGCTGTGTGATGCAGTGGGTGGCGCTCGTTTCTGTTCGGAGGTAGGAATAAAAATGCCGGTCCCCTTTTTTACGACGCTCGTTTCTATAGCTTGTTTTTCTTTTTTTATCTCAAGTGACCTACAGTACCGCCTGTTCGAAATCGTCCTTTGCGGTGAGCGATTAAGAGTCAGATTAGCATTTTATTTGGGTCAGCACTACACGTTCAATGGAGACCTCGGGCGGCGATGTAAATATGCATTGCTCCCCAAAGTGTGTCCAAGGTGCGCAATGACAATGGGAAGAGTATTGAAGGCGCGCGACCGTCGGTTGGTAAAATACGTGCGTTAGATTCACTTATTTAGTCTAATCATTTTTGCCAACGTCTTTTATCCGTTTCGACAAATGACATGGTCGAGTCTATTGATAACCTTAGCTAGATTGGACGTAAGAAGTGTCCGGGCTTTAAATAAATTTGCTTCGTTTATGTGAATGAATAACTGTTTTCTCTTTTCCGTGCTCGGTGCTATGCAAAAATCGCTGACATGTTATGGTAGCTCAGTGTGGCGGCGTTTTGCACGCTGACTCGCTATTGCATTCGCTGTGCACAATATGTGTTCAGATGGAATGTGCTAAATCGTATTTCCGATCGATATGATAGATTTACTTTGCTACAGTGTTAATTATATTTTCCCGATTTAAACTGGTTCGTCCCTGATCTGAGCCTAAGTTCAAATTCGAAGGGCAGACAGACTTAGCGTCGTAACAGCCGTAATGCCGCCCACAAAGAAATTAGTAGCTTGAAAGAAAAACAAAAGGATACGAGGTGGCTCAGTGTTATAGAAGTAATCAGTGTGCAAAGGATGCCATCGTACGTGTTTTTTTTTTTTTTTAACTCTCCGCATTGCTGGTAAACGCTCAAGGTACCAGCAAAGACAGCGAGCTGGCGTGAAATTTCCATCGAGCGGAAAACGAGTGTCATTTTTATTTCATCATGCGCTTTCATTTTGATATGGCTCAAAATGGGCGCGAAATAGTAACAGGTAAGGCAACAAAATTTAGATGTTAGGTCTGGAGAACCGCCATGCTCAGCCGTGTTGGGGGCATCTCTCGCGAGTCAATACGGCAAAGGTATTGCGCGTCGAACAGAGTTATCCATTTCAGCGAAACCTTGATTTCGCAAAACTATTGTGGCTCGAGTCGTGGCTTCAGTACTTGGAAGCCACGAGCGAGAAATAAATGACAGTTGATTTTGAAGGACAATCGCGACGTGGAAACCCATAAAAGAGAGTTCCAATAAGACGAGAGCTTCCCCTTCTCTTCAAGTGCGTGGGTTACGCTCTCAATCCTGCACCTGTGGTAACACTGCAGGCTCCTAAAATCGCTTTGAAAACGGTCCTGATCGCAACAACTTTTTTTTTTTTGTCGAGGCGCTATTTCATTTTTTTTTCTTTTTGTCTATCTTGATACCCCATGAGCGCAAAAACTACCATAAACTAAAAAAAAAAAAAAAAAAATAGTGGGCATACAACGACAACGCACCCACTGGGACCCGAGTCAAGGCAAGAACAACTAACTACTAAAAGGGGAAAAAAATCATGTTCGCATACACAGACAGAACGCCTCCATCGAAAGAAATGAATCATGCGCTTGTTCTGCCCAGGACCAACTTGAATAGGGGGGAGACCTGTCTATCGCGCGCCCTTCCTATGGGAGAGCTACTGGAGCTCTAGTTGACGTTGCGGCTACAAGGCGGCGCGCAAAGCCCCCCTATCGTTTTGAATGGGGAAGGCTGCGCGATTCACGTTGCGATGCTGAAACCTGTGATTTTGTCTTACAGGCGTCTATTAAATCATGAAATAACTTAACACTGGTGCAGCTTTGCGCGCAAAAGTTTCCTTTTATTGGATTCACACAGTAATAAATAGGTATATGAAGCATTTTTTTACACTAATTACAAAACAAATTCTATACATGATTCTCACAGAATTCTTACACCTTCAACACCTTTCGGGAAGTCGGTTTTTCTTTTATGACCTACTTTGCCCGGCGCTCCCCCATCATGTTTGATGCAATGTTCGTCAGGAAAGGCCTCGTGAACTTCCTGACCACGATTGTAACCCGGGTGGCTCTGTGATTTTGTGAGTTGTTGACTCCACAGCTAAATAGCGGGTTGCTCGCGATTGCCGACAGAACCTTTTAATTAACGGCAGCAGTGGCTTCCTCAATGCTCATAACCTCGTCTCGGCAGAATTAGATGCGCTCTCAAGCATTCTCAGAAAGTTGACGAAGCGGGGCCTGGCATAGCGCGGTACCCCACGGTCCAGGTTATGTGCTATAGCAACGGTTACGCTGTTGTGTGAAGGGGCCTTGATCTGGTGCAAGCACCTGTCGCAGGCAATGTCTTCAGCCGCCCTCACGAGGAAACCTCACATGAGTGCCAGAGTGATGGTTTGCAGTCCTGGTGCTGGAAAACCTCACAAAAAAATTGTTTTGCGTTTTTTACTAGTTTTAACTTTTTATAAACGAACGTCTGAAGTTCCTTTAAGAATGGTTTCAAAATCTTCATATTTCTCGGCGAAGCAGCATGCTGAAGTACTGGCTTTTGCAGCAGCGCACAAGAGGCTTCAAGAAAAATAAATGATAATGATGATGATGACCGATGACCGAGCATCCGCTCGGTCATCGGAGCCGCTCAGTTGCCTCACCGCAGAAAAGGGCGACTCTACTCTGTCTGAAGAGAACTTGAACGTTAAAATGTACTTGTATCCTTGGTCCAATAGGTGACATGTACACAATACAGAAGACAACGTTGTGACTGCCAAGGCTTCGTCAATTCCGGACGTTAAATATATTCTGACCGACGGTGCCGTTCTCTTCCAATTGTTCACATACTCGATGAATGTGTTCTCGAGTCAAAATATCGAGAGGTCCATCGGCTCCACCTCGGCCTCTCCAAGGCAGCATTGCTCTCGTTCACCGGTCTCGCCGTTCGTAGTAGATAAAATACTTGTGTCGCCATATATAACTGTTACAAGTACTCGGAAAGATGAGTTGCACGCAAGGAAGAAAATTAATTCCTACCATCGGATAAATCTCGAACACGGAGCACCGTTGGCACCGCTGTAATTTTCCGCATTTTTTATATTCCCATTCTCTTTATAGTCATCTGATGTAAAATGCAGCAAGCATAGGACAGTGCCCCCGCTATCACTTGGGTGCCATTGGGAGTTCTTTTTTAACTTCAAAAGAAAAGAAAAAAAAAAAAAAAACGAAAACAACTTTAAAACATGTCTTGACTGCCTTTTTTTTTCGTCTTCTTCTTTTTTTTTGTAATACAATATGTCGCTTTTAATCTTACTTTCCTAGATCACTGAGACGAAAAAAAAAAAATATTAAAAATCGGCATTTACCCGCTCTCGAGATTCTTCTGATTCATTCTTCGTGGACACTCGATGATGGAAATTCGTGAAGTGAAAATCTTTCGCCTTTTTTGCCATGCGAGGTACACAGCGGCAAGCAACAGTCTACCATTTAGCCGCAGTTCGAGTCGACACTTAAATTTTCGGATCGTAACACCCAGATTCCAGCGGCGCAGCCACCTCGCTTCAGTGCTCCCCAAGGCTTCCCGGACTGGATCCGGTAGGGAAGGCTGGGGTAGAGTTGCTGTATAGGCTCCCTACGGGAGCCAGAGTTGCGCATTTGTTTTCCCCGCGCCGCCACGCCGCTATTCGCCGAGATCCATCACGTGAGGAGCAAAGCATCCGTTGGCGTGCAAGAAAGCCACCTTTATGGTCGCTCCGCCGACGTTTCTCTTGCCCCGGCGTATGTTTCCCTGCTTTCTGCCTTCTTTTCCTCCTCTCCTTTTTTCTATGCGCGGCGGCGCGCGCGGCGCCGCTATTCGCCAAATTTAGTCACGTGAGGAGCAAAGCATCCATATCGTGCGGGAAAGCCGGCTTTACGGCCACGCGCCGAGGCTGAATGCGCAACTCTGCTACCGTAGGTAGCATATACAGGAACTCTAGGCTGGGGGGGCTCCGAGCGCCACCACGAGCGTTCGTGAGGAATGCGCGTACTACTGAGCCGGCGCTGAGCCACACTCTTAGAAAAAAGGGTATGGATAGTCCTCCTTTAGGGGAGGAACGGTCTTGTAACCTATGTTCCTTTAGAAAGGGAGAAACTTTCGGCCCTGAAGCTGGGGAGCAAAGTTCCTCCGTCGCTTGCATCTCAATATGGCGGCCCCGAACCGAGCAAATCGAGCCCAATAAGGCTTGACGAGGACGCTACGTCTCTTGTACGGGACGAGAGCAGCAGCAAATGACAGCGTAGCACGAGCTTTCCGCAAACTGTGTTTATTTCCGAAGCCAGATTCCCCCCACAGGAACAGAAACTTACGTTTCGAAAGCAGTTACTCAGTCTTCTCGTCGACAGCACTGCGATGTTAAACGGAGGCAACCGATACCCAGTTACTTCGCGCACTTTGCGTCTTACCTTTGGTGTTCCTCGAGTCACA